TGATATGGCCTGGAAGGTGTGTGGACTTGGGATTAATCCAGAGAGGTAATCACATGTTCACCCCACCTCTGGCTGCTCTAGGTCTCGATTGTCCGCAGTACAACCATCACCCTGACCCCCAGCGCAGAGACAGATGTATCCCTGGTCTACCGTGGCTTCATCCACCCGTTGCTGCCTGGAGGACCAGGTGGGCCGGGGGCTGAGGATGTGGCAGTGTGGGCCCGGGCCCAACGCTTACACGTCCTGGCCCGGATGGCCCGTGGCCCTGACACAGAGGACATGGTGAGGAAGCCTGGGACATTTGCGGTGTGTTTTTGGTAAAGAGGGGCTTGAGGTGTGGTGTGGGGCATCTGTGGTTCCAGGGGAAGACTGGGGATGTGTCCTCAGAGGAGGAGGACAGCACTGGGGTTTTCAACTGTGAACAGATTTGAAGAAGGTGGGGACGGTTTGAGTTACCAGGTCAGACTCCCCTGGGAGGAGGCGGGTCACGGGGTGACTTGGAGGTTGTCAGGGTCTAGGAAGAGGACCTGAAGGGGTCAGTCCTGGAGGTGTGGTTGGTGCCTGAGTAGTGCCACCTGCCACCTGCGCCAGGTCAGGGCGCACTGCCTCTGAGGCCTTTATCCTCTTCTCAGGAGGAGGTAGGGCGCTGGGTGGCACAGCAGGAGAAGGAGACGAGGCGACTGCAGCGTCCAGGGTCTACTCGCCTCTTCCCACTGCCTGGGCGAGGCCACAAGTATGCAGTGGAGATCCGGGGCCAGCTCAATGGCTCAGCAGGCCCTGGGCACAGTGAGCTCACTTTGCTATGGGATCGGACTGGTGTGCCAGGCGGCAGTGTGAGTACCCAACCCAGCTTCTAACCTGAGACTTTCTGAAGTCCATCCACAAACTCTTAATTCCCTGGATCCTGACCTCTGACTCTTTAACCCTTGGCTTCTGAACTCTGGACCTTACCTTGAACCCTCCTAGACCCTGACCTCTGCCCCAGAACCTGGCCCAATACCATATATATATATATTCCCCCCCACCCCCGTAATGCTTGGGATGGAACCCAGGGCCTCAAGCATGCTAAACAAGTGCTCTACCACTAAGCTACACCTCAACCCAGATCCCATATTCTGACCCCATCCACATTTTCTGACTCTTCCTGCCCTGACCCTTGCCCTCCATACATTGACTTCTTGTCTCTAGGGTCTCTGGGACTTGATCCTCATTTGCCTGTTGATTTTCTCTCCTGACTTTCTATTCTCTAAACCCTTAATTCCAGTTGTTAGTCCCAAATTCTGACCCTTTCCCAGAAGTTTGATTCCTGACCTTCATGTCACCTTTCCAGGAGATCTCCTTCTTCTTCCTGGAGCCCTACCGCTCCTCGGCCTGCGCCTCCTATTCCTCCTGCCTGGGCTGCCTGGCAGATCAGGGCTGTGGTTGGTGCCTGAGTAGTGCCACCTGCCACCTGCGCCAGGTTGGGGCGCACTGCGAGGATGATGGGTCCGGCGGGTCCCTGCTGGTGCTAGTGCCTGCCCTCTGCCCACTCTGTGAGGAGCATCGCGACTGCCATGCCTGCACCCAGGTGCCCACCAGGCCCAGAGTGGGGATGTCAAGACTGAGGCAGCCAGAGTAGCCCACTGAGACAGGGCCCCTTGGAGCTGGCACGGGCAGCCAAGGGGACCTGGTGGTGAGGAGCAGATGGCTAGGGCAGTTGTCCTTTGTGTAAAGGGAAGAGCCAGGTGGAGAGTAGATGAAACGGGCCTGGAAAGATGACCTGGGAGTCAAAATATGCCTTGTTGAGGGGACAGAAAATGCAGTTGACTCCCCGTTCCCAGAAGAGTCACTGTTCTAGTGACTGGCAGGGGAGACAGGGCTCCAGACTTCCAGCTCGCAACTCAGCATCAAGGGGAAAGTGCCTTCCTCTTTCTATTGCCACCTCACCCCACTCCAGTGGCAGTTCTGGGACTTCTGCTGAGAAGTCCCAGAATCACATGTCATTGGCTCTGGTTGGGTTTTGCAAGCTCCTGATGAAGTCACTGGGATTGGGAGGGAGCGTGGCCCCTTGCCCACCTCTGGATCACAAGGATGAATCTGCCCCACTGGGTCCCATAGAAAGGTACTATTGCCCAAAGAAGGGTGGGTGCTGGTCAAGCAGAACAAACGTGTGGCTGAAGGGAAGGTGCAGAGGGGACAGCAGGGGAGCGAGGTGTTGCTTGTTGAGTGGTGATGGATGGACACCAGGAGCTCAGGGGAGTGGGCTGAACTCAGTGCTGACTCTTTGTCCAACCCCTAGGACCCCTTCTGTGAGTGGCATCAGAGCACCAGCCGCAAAGGGGATGCGGCATGCAGTCGGCGGGGCCGGGGTCGAGGTGCCCTGAAGAGCCCAGAGGAGTGTCCCCCACTCTGCAGCCAGTGAGTTCAGCTGGTCCCAGGGAGCGGGTGGGTGTGCGTGGGGGCATGGGCTGGAGTGACATGGCCTCTGCTCCCGTCCTAGGCGTCTGACCTGTGAGGACTGCCTGGCCAACTCCAGCCAGTGTGCCTGGTGCCAGTCTACCCACACCTGCTTCCTGTTTGCTGCCTACCTGGCCCGGTACCCACATGGAGGCTGTCGTGGCTGGGACGACAGGTGCGGGCCTGGGGGTGGGGCTGATGGAGCGAGGGTTCAAGCTGGCAGAGGGCCCAGTCCCTGATCCCTCCCACACACCTGCACCCCACAGTGTGCACTCAGAACCAAGGTGCCGGAGCTGTGATGGCTTCCTGACCTGCCATGAGTGTCTGCAGAGCCACGAGTGCGGCTGGTGTGGCAATGAGGACAACCCCACGCTGGGGCGGTGAGCACAGGTGGGGCCGGTGGGGTAGGACACCTGGCTGTCCCTCCTCAGTGACTAACGGCGGCCTCTGTTTCTCTGCCCCTTTGCCCTGTCCCGATCCTGTGGCTGCTTTTCCTTTCCTGCTGCCTCCACCTCTGCTTTCCTCCCTCCCCCTTCTCCCCATTTCTCTTCCTCCTCCATTCCCCTTCTTTCTTGCCCTTCCCTGGTTTACTCTCTGCTCACTGTTCTGTGTCTCTCTCTCCTCTCTCCCTTTTCCTTTTCCCCTTGTCTCTGGGCCCTGTTTCTATGTTCTTCTCTCCTTCAATCTCTCTCCCCCCAGGTGCCTACAGGGGGACTTCTCCGGGCCCTTGGGTGGGGGTAACTGCTCCCTGTGGGTGGGGGAGGGCCTGGGGCTGCCTGTGGCTCTCCCTGCCCGCTGGGCTTATGCCCGCTGTCCAGATGTGGATGAATGTCGCCTGGGCCTGGCACGGTGTCACCCGCGGGCAACCTGCTTGAACACGCCTCTCAGCTATGAGTGTCACTGCCAGCGTGGCTACCAGGGTGATGGCATCACGCACTGCAACCGCACGTGAGTGAAGCATGGGTTGCTATGGAGATATCGCTTCAGGACTGGGGCTGGGAGGTGGAGGAAGCCATCCTGGTGCTGGGCTCCCTCCTGTGATTCTAGTATCTCTAGTTAGCCTGGGGGTTTTACCCTGTAGACTAGGACCTCTTTTAAGTGGCAGGGTTCCCAAGGTAACCCTAGTTACTATGGAAACAGGACACTCATAGACAATGGGCTATAACCTTTAGCGTTGCTGTGGAGATGGAGGAGGACCTAGTTGAAAGGGAGTTTTTACAGTGCTGATATGTGGTTACTATGGAGACAAGCTTCACCACGTGTAATGAAGTTACTGTGGAGACTGGGTCACTCAGGACAGTGGAAACTGGGAGCCATTTGTGATAGTGTTCTGGTGGGTGGGATGAGGGGGATGCTTTGGGGGTCCTGGGCCTGCTCACTCCCATATGGTCCCAGGTGCTTGGAGGACTGTGGCCATGGTGTATGCAGTGGACCCCCAGACTTCACCTGTGTATGTGACCTGGGGTGGACATCTGACTTGCCCCCACCCACGCCTGCCCCAGGGCCCCCTGCCCCTCGCTGCTCCCGAGACTGTGGCTGCAATTTCCATAGTCACTGCCGCAAACGGGGGCCTGGCTTCTGTGATGAGTGCCAGGGTGAGCAGCCCTTATCCCAAGACCCTGGGATGGGTTTGGGGGGCTCCAACTTTGTCTTTTGTGAGTGGGCTTCGGGCTCCCTGCATGCATTTCTGGGTCCCTCTGCCCATTTACCTGCTCCTGACCCAAACAGTCTTCAGTGCCACTGTCTTTCTGGTTGGGCTCAGTCCCCCTTTTGGGACTTGCTATTTCTGTCCCAGTCAGGGGCCTTGGTTTCACTCCTTTGAAGTGAGGCGGGTGGGATCAGTAATCCTCTGAGCCAGTTAGTCTGGGCCCACTTCTGTCCTTATCCCTGACTTTGTGTCCCGTCTGCTGCGGTCTTCACAGACTGGACGTGGGGGGAGCACTGTGAACGGTGCCGTCCTGGCAGCTTTGGCAATGCCACAGGCTCAGGAGGCTGTCGGCCCTGCCAGTGCAATGGTCATGGGGACCCACGCCGTGGCCACTGTGACAACCTCAGCGGGCTCTGCTTCTGCCAGGACCACACAGAGGGAGCCCACTGCCAGCTTTGCTCACCAGGCTACTACGGGGACCCCCGGTGAGCCAGGGGCCAGCAGATTTGAGTAGGGTGGGCTTAGGGACACAGTGGGCCGGGGCAGGACTGGTCTGATTCTGGCTCTCCTTCTCCCCAGGGCTGGTGGCTCCTGTTTCCGGGAATGTGGGGGACGAGCTCTCCTCACCAACGTGTCCTCAGTGGCTCTGGGTTCCCGCCGGTTTGGGGGACTGCTGCCTCCAGGTGGTGGGGCTGCAAGGGCCGGGCCTGGCCTGTCCTATTGTGTGTGGGTTGTCTCAGCCACTGAGGTGCTACAGCCCTGTGCCCCAGGGACCCTGTGTCCCCCACTCACCCTTACCTTCTCCCCTGACAGCAGCACCCCTTGCACGGTGAGTACCGAAGGGACTAGGGTTCAAGCTGGAACCATGCCCTGCCCCGACCCCTGCCCTGCCCAGACTTCAAATCCCAAGCTGTTCCTTAGACTGCCCAGCCCCTCTTCCTAAGCCTACAGGTCTTCCCATTTCTCAGTTCTCTTCCTGTTTCCTGAAATCCTCTCCCTCATCCTCCAGATCCTCAGACTCCCCTTCCCTAGACCAGGGATGGTAATTATTAAACCTGTGTACCAATTCTGATTGTTTGGTGGTGGCTGCCGGGAGCTATGTATTGAGAAAGAGGCTCAAGGCAAGAGTGGCCAGTCAGCTAGCCATGTCTGCTTTGAAACGGCATTGGGAGCGGTGGTCTCCATGCTGCAGTTTGACATTTGCCCTGAATGTTCAGACAGCCCCTGTCAGTCTCAGATTGCCCTCCCCTCCTGAGGCCTTCCTCCACCTAGACCCAAGTGCACTTTTTCTTCACCTCATGGTCTTCTAACCCTTGACTCTACACCCCTCCAGCTGAGCTACGTCCTGGCCTTTGATGGATTCCCACGCTTCCTGGACACTGGTGTTGTCCAGTCGGACCGTAGCCTCATAGCTGCCTTCTGCGGCCAGCGGCGGGACAGGCCCCTCACTGTGCAGGCCCTGTCTGGTATGGGGGCTGGGGAAGTAGGGTCCCTTTGTGCTGGGCTTTGTATCCTTTGCTCCTGCATTTGTGATCTGATTGGGCTGAGGAGCCAGGTTCATTCCAGGGACTGTTGCTGACTTTGTGGGTGACACAGTCCCTTGCCTGGAGGGTGGTGCAGTTCCTCTCCATTTCTGGGCCCCAGTTTTTTCAGTGGAAAATAGAGAGGATTTTGCAGGCTGGGCTGGCTCTGAAGAGAGGGGCTGAGCAGGGCATGTGTGTCTTTGGGACACAGAGAATGTGGCTGAGCATCTCCTTAGCCTAGTGATTCTCAAAAGGGGTGACTATTTTTTTTAAGTTGTCAGTGGACCTTTATTTTTATGCAATGCTGAGATTTGAACCCAGTGCCTTGCACATGCTAGGCAAGTGCTCTACCACTGAGCTACAACCAGTCCTAGGGGTGATTTTTGTTGCCCAGGGAATATATCGTAACGTTTAGGTAGGTGTGTTTTAGTACAGGGATACTTTATCTCTAAGCTACATCTCCAGTCCTTTTTATTTTTAGTTCTTATTTTTCGTTTTGAACAGGGTCTCACTAAGTTGCCAAGGCTGGCCTCCAACTTGCAATCCTCCTTCCTCAGCCTCCCCAGTTGCCAGGATTATAGCATATACCACCAGTTCCAGCTTCTAGAGATATTTTGACAGTCATGATTAGGGGTGCTATAGGCATCTAGTGGGTGGAAAGCAGAGATGGGGCTGTAGGACAGCCTCTATGACAAAGAACCACCTAGGACTGAGAGGTTGAGAAACTGCTGAATGGATGGGGATGCGCTGGAAAGGATTGGTTGCCTCAGGCAGTTAAAGAGCCAGAGTTTGGATATGCTTTCTTCCTTCTTGTTGTGAGTCAGAGGCTGGTGCTGGAGGCCAAGAGAGAGATGTGTAGTTGACCTGATGTAAATGAACCCCCAGGCTTCCACAGTGACTCCCATAGAAATGAGTGGATTTCATTGTGCCCAGCAAATATTTCCAGAACACCCACACTGAGGTCACCTGAGCTCTACACGGTGTAGCTGAGAACAGGGACATAGGTGCTGCCTTCAAGAACCTGGGTAGGCAAGGGGGTGCCCAAACAAAGCATTAGACTCAGCATAGTAACTCTCTCCCGAGGCAGGGAAAAGGAGTGGCACTGGCCTGGCTGGGGCTGGAGCTAGGGAGGACTTTTGTGTGGGGTGAGTTTGGCTGGAGGTGGGAAGCTGGAGGCATGGTGGGAGCACCTTCTCCAGGTGGAGGAGTAGCAGATGCCAAGTCCCTGAGAGCAGGATGGTGGGCCAGGCTGACGCTAGGGCATACTGGATGAGGAAGTGGGAGGTCCTGAGGTCAGGGTTCTGCAGGGCCTTAGGCTCCAGCAGGGGTCTCTTAAAAAATACAACTTTATTGAGGTGTATTTTACATATCATATCTTGTAATTAATTTCTGTTTCCTACTTCTGGCAAACCTGCTAATCTTTATAAAGAAAATCAGTCTTACCTAAGAGTAGTGGAAGCTGTAGAAGGTTTAGAACTTGCCTGTGATGGGGTCAAACTTCTTGTTTTTAAGAATTGCATGGGGGGCTGGGGTTGTGGCTCAGTAGTAGAGCACTTGCCTTGCATGCGTAAGGCACTGGGTTGATCCTCAGCACCACATAAAAATAAATAAAATAAAGATATTGTGTCCATCTACAGCTAAAAAATATATATATTAAAAAAAAAAGAATTGCATAAGCTGCTGGGAGGGCAGAGTGTAGGGCAACCAGGAAGACAGTGGGGAGATGGCACTGATGTCCAGATGAGATGCGATGTTGTCTTGCCACCACTGAGAAGGTGGCAAGAAGTAGGTTAATATGAGAGATTTAGATTTTATTTTTATTTTTAATTTTTATTTTTTTTTTTGGTGCCTGGGATTGAATCCACTGCCTTGTGTGTGCTGAACACACGCTGTACCACTGAGCTACACCCTTCACCTGAGATTTAGGCTTTAAGGTGGATGGAACTTGATGGGTTGGTCAAGGGACAGGCGTATAGAGAGACCGTAAACCACGGCAGTGACTATAAGTGACCAGGGTACTCCTTGCCTGGTTGTGCTGGGTTTTCTCCACGCCTGGGGGTGGAGCAGTGTCCAGAACACGTCCTCTCTCTCCACAGGGCTGCTTGTGCTGCACTGGGAAGCCAATGGCTCCTCCTCCTGGGGCTTCAATGCCTCAGTGGGCTCTGCCCGTTGTGGGTCAGGGGGCCCGGGGAGTTGCCCTGTCCCCCAGGAGTGTGTGCCCCAGGATGGGGCTGCAGGTGCTGGGCTCTGCCGGTGTCCCCAGGGCTGGGCTGGCCCACACTGCCGCATGGCTCTGTGTCCTGAAAACTGCAATGCCCACACTGGGGCCGGGATTTGTAACCAGGTACAGATGGGACAGGGCCAGCCGAGTGGGGCGGGTGGTGACCAGGACTACCCTGAGCCTCCTTTTGCTGTCTCCAGAGCCTGGGCGTGTGCATCTGTGCTGAGGGCTTCGGGGGCCCTGACTGTGCCACGAAGCTGGATGGCGGGCAGCTGGTCTGGGAGACCCTCATGGACAGCCGCCTCTCAGCTGTGAGTTCTGGGTACCTCCTCTCTGAGGACATGCCACACAATCTGTCTTGTGGATCATTTCTCCAACCTGCTTTCCTGGCCACTTCAGACTGTCCACCCATGCCTGACACTGTCCTGACCTTAGCCTGACCCCTGATACCTCTGCCCCCACCTCCAGGACACTGCTAGCCGTTTCCTACACCGCCTGGGACACACTATGGTGGAGGGACCTGATGCCACCTTGTGGATGTTTGGGGGCCTGGGCCTGCCCCAGGGGCTTCTGGGAAACCTGTACAGGTGAGGACTGTGCTGAGGAGGTGGGATACCTGAAATAAGAAAAGGTTACCCTAGGGATTGCTGAGATGTCTGTCATCCAAGAGTCACCTCAAGGGAATATAGAAAACCTCTAAGGTGAGGGACACTCAAAAGATTCTGGGATACTCATCACAGGCGGCTCACCTAGGACTGGGATACTCTTTGGGTGTTGCTCCCCGGGAAATGATAAGGTAACTGTTATAAAGATCACCCCAAGGGAGGCTGGGGCATCTGCCAGGTAGGGTCACTCTTAGGGTTGCTGGGGTGATTGTACAGCAAGGCTGCTGTTCTGCATCTTGGCCCCAGGTACTCGGTGAGTGAGCGGCGATGGACACAGATGCTGGCTGGAGCTGAGGATGGAGGTCCAGGCCCATCACCCCGCTCCTTCCACGCAGCTGCCTATGTGCCCGCTGGGCGTGGTGCTATGTACCTGCTTGGGGGACTCACAGCTGGGGGTGTCACCCGAGACTTCTGGGTCCTTAATCTCACCACCCTACAGTGGCGGCAGGAGAAGGTGAGCACCTGTCTCCATCCCCCAGGCAAAGATGGCCACAGCAGCTCTTGTAAGCTTTCCATCAAAGGAAGCCATCTCCCAGAGTTTCAGCAGGAGTCCCCAAGTTGAATTGCACTGGCTGTCTTGGGTTACATTGTAGTTGCAAGCCAATCTCTGGCCACAGGCTTGTGATGCTCTGGCTTAAGAGGCTGGAACACAGGCTCACCCGAGAAGAGAAGCAGGAGCTTCCCACAGGCATACCAGGCTGCTTGGGCCTGGAGAAGTGGATGAGGAGTGGACAGAACTGACCAGAGTCTGCTGTACACCTGCCAGGGCTCTGTCTTAGAAGGTCAAGGTCTGACCAGCCCCGGGAGCTTACTCCCTCCTTAGCAGTTCAGAGGGAAGGGACTGTGGGACTGTGTCTTGCTTCTATCCACAAGGGGACTCCAACTTCTGGCTCCCTTGATGACCTTGATCCTTTATCCCTCAGGCCCCTCAGACCGTGGAGTTGCCAGCTGTTGCTGGTCATACTCTTACTGCCCGCCGAGGCCTATCTCTGATCCTGGTAGGCGGTTACTCCCCTGAAAACGGTTTCAACCAGCAGTTGCTTGAGTACCAGCTGGCGACTGGCACCTGGGTGTCTGGACCCCAAAGCGGGACACCTCCAACAGGTGGGGCTGGGGCTGGGCTTTGCGTAGGCTGTCCGCTCCCATACTCTGGTTGCTGCCCACTGTACCCTTGTTATTTCCCTTCCCGGACCCCAACCTCATCCAGAATCTCAGGAAACCATCTCTGGTGATGTTCAGTTTCTGTTTAACTCTCCCCCACTTCATGATGACCTGCCCACCTCCTGCCCATTGTGGCCATTCTCTCCTCCCACCCCCAGGTTCTAAGATCACTGTCCCTCAGGGGCTGTCCTTTCCCTATCATGCTTTTACATGCTTTTATCATTGTCCCCTGGACGTTCTGTCACCCTGTCTCCCTCCTATGAGCTGATCATAATCGCCCAACTGTTGCTTTCTCTCTTCCCTTTCTCCATGTCTCTATTGTCCTTTAGAATTCAAGAGAGGGAGGGGTTGAGAAGGATTCCTTGGTCTCTGGCTTCAGGGTGTGTTGGGGTCATGGTGTGGTCACCAGAAGGGGAGCCCAGGAGGTGGGGGGCATTGCTGGTCAGCCCTTCTCTGCCATCTCTGTGGCTATTCTGCCCCCCTCCAGGTCTCTATGGTCATTCTGCGGTCTACCATGAGGCCACCGACTCCCTGTATGTGTTTGGGGGCTTCCGCTTCCACGTGGAACTGGCAGCCCCTTCCCCAGAGCTCTACTCCCTGCACTGTCCTGACCGCACCTGGAGCCTGCTGGCCCCTTCTCAGGGGGCAAAGGTCAGGAAAAATGGTCCAGATAGATGACTATGGGGAAGGAGGTGCCCAGGGACTGGCTTCCTCCTCAATTCCAGCCTCCCTTTCCAGTCCCCTACACTGAACCATAACATCCTTAGATCTCCTCTTTTTCCATCCCTGATTTGGAGGCAAGAATCCTCTCCAGGAGGTCAGAGGCATGGGTTCTGCCCTTTCTCTGCCCTGACTTTCTGTGTGGCCCTGCAGGTCCCTTCCTCTTCCTGGGCTTCCAGGCTATAAAAAGTAGAACTGGGACCCCTAGTTCTTCCTGCCTTACCAGGTCAAGGAGGTGGGTGTGGGAGAATAAGGAACCATCTGTGCTGGTAGGGACAATGGCTTGTGCAGTTTCTAAGTCCCTCAGGGCAGGGAGAGGCAAAAGAAGGCACTCCAGGGAGCCTCAGGCCGGGGGCTGTAACTTGGGTGGCAGGAATGTTGTTGTTCACCTCAGGGGGTCTGAGCCAAGTCCCTGGGGATGACTGGGTGAGCTGGTGGAGTAGGAAGGGAAATTCAGGGGTGGCAGGTGTGGGGATGGAGCACAGGGAACAAGGGACAGGGCTCTGACAGGCCATCCATACTGTGTGTTTCCCCAATAGCCCCGTCCCCGACTTTTCCATGCTTCGGCTCTGCTAGGGGACACTATGGTGGTCCTCGGTGGGCGCTCAGACCCTGATGAGTTCAGCAGCGATGTTCTGCTCTACCAGGTCAACTGCAACGCCTGGCTTCTGCCCGACCTCACCCGTAAGTCCCCTTTGATCTCCCTGGGAGAGTGGGGAACACCCTGGGGGAGGCTTGTCCCTGTCCTGGGACCCCCACACATTAGAAGTCATTCTGATTTCCTGGGACTCGCCAGCAAAGCACTCACCCCGCCCCATATGATTTAAAGACCATGAGGAAGATCTTTTTTTTTTTTCTTAGAAAATTTACTTTTTATTGTGACTGTAAAAGTAATAATATTCATTGTATATAATTTATAAAACAGGAAGGGAAAAAACACCCAGAATCCTACTCTTTAGAGAGAACCCCTGTTGGATGCGGGGAGTTTCCTCCCAGGCTTTGCTGTTCATGAGTTAGAAGTGGGCTTTTTAAAAAAAAAAAAAAAAAAAACATTTATTTTTTAGTTTTAGGCGGACCCAATATCTTTATTTTACATTTATGTGGTGCTGAGGATTGAACCCAGTGCCTCATGCATGCTAGGTGAGCGCTCTACCAATGAGTCACGACCCCAGCCCCTAGAAGGGGGCTTTTATCTTGCCCTTTTTTCTCTTTTCTTTGCCATGCTGGAAATCAAGCCCAGGCCTCACTCATGCTAGCCAAGTGCTCTACCCCCAAAGGCACCCCAGCGTTTGTATTTCACTTAGCAGAGGGAGTGACTGTGTGTGCTTCTGAGCCTGTCTCCTTTCCTTTTTGCTTCTTTTTCTGACCTTAATGCACTTTTTCTCTTAATCTACCCTTCCTACTATTTTCTCTCTCTCTCTCTCTCTCTCTCTTTCTCTTTTGAGAATTAAAAAAGAAAAACAAACAAACAACAACAACAAAAAACCCCTGCTAGGCATGGTGGCACACACCTACAATCCTGGCTGCTCAGGAGGCTGAGGCGAGAGGATTGCAAGGTTGATTCCAGCCTGGGCAATTCAGTGAGACCTGGTTTCGAAGCAAAAACAAAAAAGAGCTGGGAAGGTAGCTCAGTGGTAAAGTGCCCCGCATTCAATTCAGTACCTCACAAAACCAACCAGCCCACAAAAAACTAAGGTGAAATTTGTGTAACATAAAACAACAGATAGAGGGTAGCTCAGTGGGAGAGTGCTCGCCTAATATGTGCAAGGCCCAGGGTTCAATTCCTAGCACCACAAAAATAGGTCAATAAAAATGATCAACTCCTTGGCATTTAGAGCCATTGCAGTGTTGCTCAGCCAGCACCTCCCGCATGGTTCCCAAACATTTTTCTCTGCCCTTGTCCTCCCCGGCTACCTTTTTCTGTTTGGTCTGCCTTTCTCTTCCTCTCTTTTGCTGTCTGATTCTCCTGCCCGTTTGTCCTCGGCTGTCGCTTTCCTGCCTGTCTTCTTTGACCCTCCCTGGCTTTTCCTTCTCTGGGCGTCCCTCCTTGACTGACCTCTTGGGCGGTCTCTCTGAACACCCTATCTTTCCTCAGGCCCAGCCTCTGTGGGACCCCCAATGGAGGAGTCTGTGGCCCACGCGGTGGCAGCAGTTGGGAGCCGCCTGTACATCTCTGGGGGATTTGGTGGAGTGGCCCTGGGCCGCCTACTGGCACTGGCCCTGCCCCCTGACCCCTGTCGCCTAATGTCCTCACCTGAAGTTTGTAACCAGACTGGAGCCTGCTCTTGGTGTCATGGGGCCTGCCTTTCCGGGGACCAGGCCCACAGGTAACCACAGTGACCAAGAGCCCATTATAGGTAGTGGTGGTTCCTGTTGAGGGTAACTGCACCATGAGCTGGGAGGGGACCTCAGGAGTATATTGATGTGGTTCAGGAGACCGGCTTTCATGTGAGAGAGTGGGTGAATCATCACCGGTGGGGCAGCCTGAGCCAGCTCCAGCCGGGAGCCTTGTTTGTGGGCTCGGGTCTCATTCTGGAGGAGCTGGTTCTGAATTGAGCCTAAATGAAAGATAACAGTTTAGAGCAGCAAAGTCTAAAAGCGGGCTCTGTGTGGTATGTTTGGGAGATAATCTGACCTGAGGGCGAGTGAGACTGACAGGGTGAGTGGGGTCATCTCAGAAAGGGCTTCCACCGCCTGACTGAGGCACTGGGCTCTGTCCAGCTCCACAGTCCCTCACCTGAAGTTTGGGATCCAAACATTTCTGCAGGCCCAGGGGTTCATAAGTTCGCTCCAGCTCACTCATTTGGCTGCTGGATTATCCTGAACTGACTCGAGGCTATTTGTGGGCTTTGTTTGTCCCATGAAGTGTCTCATCACATTAACTGCAGGAATATTAATGGGTTTGATTATTGGGGGTGGGGGAAGCACCTGAGTGTGTGTGTAATAGTGGGAGCACCCACTGCATTTTTAAAATCTGGAAAATTCTAAAACCTATGCACCTCCAAGGATTTAGGGGAAGGGATTGTGTATCTGCACTGTGGGCAGCCGGGGGAGCCATGGAGAGTTTGAGCAGGAAGGGGAGGTCAGGCCTGGGCAGGGAGATCCCTGGAGCGGTTGTGAGAGGTGGAGTAATGAAGAGAGGCAGCAAGGGGACTTAGGTGCTGGCTGTGGGAAGAGGAAGAGCCCTGAATTGGGCAAGGGCCTGTAGGGAGGGGGAGAGGAGATGGTCAGAGAAAAAAATTCAGGAAGCAGAGGGCTCAGTGGCTGAAGGGGCAGGAGGGCGTGGGGTATTTTCTGATATTGCTGGCCAGGGTGACAGGTGAAAGTGAGACCATCTGTCACAAGTGGTGGGGAGGACAAGGATCAGGAGGCCTGTGCAGGGTCCATCTCAGGATACGGTATGGGGGAACAATAGGACCACATCCAAGAAGCCGAAGGATGGGCCTGGCTGAGTGGGTGAGCCACACTTCATGACCTCCAGGTTAGGCTGTGGGGGTGCCCCTTGCTCCCCAATGCCTCGATCCCCAGAGGAATGTCGACGACTCCGGACCTGCAGTGAGTGCCTGGCCCGCCATCCCCGCACCCTACAGCCTGGAGATGGAGAGGTGAGTGGCTTGTGCAGGGAATAACAAGGAGTGGCAGGCAGAGGGGCAGGAGGTGGAGATCTGTGGCCAGTTGTCTAGGGTCTCGGGAACCACTGAGCCCTTCAGCAGTGATTGGATGGGAAAGACTGTCAGAAGGGGAACTGAGAGCCCTGCAGACCCCACCAAGCCTGCTCCTCCTCAGGCATCAGCCCCCCGCTGTAAGTGGTGTACCAACTGCCCCGAGGGTGCCTGCATTGGGCGCAATGGGTCCTGCACCTCAGAGAATGACTGTCGCATCAACCAGCGAGAGGTCTTCTGGGCCGGAAACTGCTCAGAGGCGGCGTGCGGGGCTGCTGACTGTGAGCAGTGCACCAGGGAGGGCAAGTGCATGTGGACACGGCAGTTCAAGAGGACAGGTGAGCCTGAGGGCTTGGGGGCCTGCACTCCTGGGTCTGAGGGAGGAGGCCTGGGCCTGGACCCCTGGCCCTGAGGGAGGAGGGCTGGGGGCCAGACTGAGTTCTAATCTGTGTCCTCTACCCAGGGGAGACACGCCGCATCCTCTCAGTGCAGCCCACCTACGACTGGACATGCTTCAGCCACTCTCTGCTCAATGTGTCTCCAATGCCCGTGGAATCATCACCCCCACTGCCCTGCCCCACCCCCTGTCACCTCCTGCCCAACTGTACCTCGTGCCTGGACTCCAAGGGTGCCGATGGGGGCTGGCAGCACTGTGTCTGGAGCAGCAGCCTCCAACAGGTACTGCCCCTTGCCTCTCTGCCCTCAGTGGGCTTTCTTTCTCCCCTGTCCTCCTCCTTCCATCTCCCTGGCTGCAGCCCGCCATGCCTTCTTCCTCCTCACACCAGCTCCTTCCCTCTTGCACGTTCCGTGCTGTCTTCTGTGCCTCCTTCCCAGACTCCCCAGCCCCTGTATCTCTCCATTGCTCATTCATGGTCTCCTCTCTACTTTCTTTCCATAACTGTTGTTTCATGCCCCCTCAACCTCCCTTTTCTGCTTTCCTGCTCCATCTGTCTACATTGGGAGCTTCTGTTTGCAAGAAATGCTGCTCCCAGCTGCTTTCGTAATAAGGAGGTGGGGTGTTCAGTAGAACAAGGAGTGTTGCTGTTCTCTGGCTCTTCGGCCACACTGCCTGTGGTCTCAGTGATTCTCCATACATCTGTGTCCTTCGATTTCCTTCAGCTTCATCATCAACAAACAGGGCCTCAGATTATATAGTTTTCTCATAGGGCCCTCTCATGATGAGTTTGCTCACATTTTCAAGGGGAAACTGTGACCCAGCTTGTGAGGCAGGTGTCCAGCTGTGGTCCACTGAGACATGGCTGGGGAGGGCCGGGAGCATGTGGTTCCAATGGGGCAGGGCAGGTGAGGGCTAGTCTGTATTCTTGGGTTGGAGGGGTGATTGGTGTGGGCAAAGCAAGCACCATGTGTCCAGGAAAGCCTGCCCCTTGATTGCCCAGCACATCCTCTCAGCTTCCAGAAAGTTCATTCCAAAGATGCCTTCACCAAGTGTGATTTACCTTCACCAGGTACAAAGGTGTTTGCCTCCTACTCCACCCCAGTGGGGGACAAGACAGATTCACCTTCTACCATCATCTCTAGTAGGAAATGAGTCTCTGATTCCCCCCAACATCTGTTCCTCATTCACACCTTGATTGTGCAAGACCCAATAGAGTCCAGCCTCCTCGCTGGCCACAGCCCACGAGCCGGTGATCACCTCAGCCATCACCCTGTCACCTTGGACAGCAGTGCAGGGAAAATGGGACACTTACCATTAGAACTTCCATTTTGAGAGGTGATTACAGAAAGAAACTGACAATAATATCCAACCCGTTCCAGCCCAGGAGGTCAGGGTGTGTAGGACCTCGGGCATCTATGGCTAGATGCCTGCAAGTGGCATCTTGGCTCATTTGATCAGGGGCTAAGGTTCCAAGCTCAGGGTCCAAGCTCAGCTGGGCCTGGGTTTAAATCCAACCTTGTCACTGTCCAGCTGTTTGACTTTGCTTGAGTGACTTGTCCTCTCTTAAACCTCAGTGAGTAATGGGAATCATTATCAACAGCCTGTCCCATAAGGAGGTCATATCAGTTAAGTAGGAGAATTTACTTAGAGCACAGAACAGTACCTGCCATCCTGTAAGGAGTCATAGCCAGTTACTGCTGCTGGTGTAATGAGCACTGGTGGGAGGACTGATCTGCTGTCCTGAGTTCCACCCACTAGGAGGATTCTTTACCTCCATGTCAGATACTCCCAGAGGATACCCGTGAGGGTTCCTCAGAGGATTATCAGTGTGGCAGAAGGTCAGAGGACCCTCTGGTGTTGGTCTGCTGCAAACAGAGGCCCTTTGCCTTCAAACCTGAGGTCCTGGCAGTACAAGGCCTCCCCAAATATTCTTGAGATTTCTATAATTTGTCTTTGTGGGAATTTTTGGGACCAGAAGGCGACACCCGAGCATCTGCTGTCTCACACAGCTCCCCCAGCCCCTCCCAGTTCCTCCACACCCGCTAGGCTTAGATGCCTGAAGAGCCCAGGCAGCTCAGGAGATGAGAAAGCTCCAGGCAGGAGGCAGGAGGATGTGTGGGGCCTGTGAATCAGAGGGACAGCCTGTCCACGAGCCAGGCAGCACAAGGTTGATGCTGTGTGTGAACACAAGGGGTCTTTTGTCTGATATGATTTCTATGAAATCTCCTAGCTTTAAGATGTTGGCTCAGATCTTTAAAGAACATCCCCCACATAGGTCAAATATCCCCACATAGGTCAATAGCTGTGGGCTCTAAACCTGTTATGATTTGTTCAGAGACTGCCAGATTCGAACTATTTGCATTGTTCTCTGTAATGGCTTTAACCTCACCCATGGCAGGCAGCTGAGTGCTCTCCTCCCTGGCCTGGCTCCTTCCCTCCTCCCTCCCTCCCTCCCTCCCCTCAATAACTTCATTATGGAGCACCCTGCACGGACACTTTGCTACTCCATGGTGTATGTCAACAGGCAAGCTGGGATTGTCTCTGGAACTTACTGTTCACCTATTTTTTCTAGGGACACAGGAAATGCAGGGTAGGTTGTTGGGCCTTATTGTTCGCCACTAGGAAGGTCACAGCGGGAAGTTCTGAAGTGCTTTTCAGGACCGAGGACTCTCATTGCCTGCTCCTGGATTGCCCCACCATCTGCCAGTGCACGCACTAAATTTAGATCTGGAAGCCCAGCCTGGTAGAGAATATTTTTGAGATTTTTTTTTAACAAGAAAAAGAACACGCAGGATTTATTACATGCCTTAGGCATGGCAGTATTAGACTCCTTGGCAGAGAGTCTGCCTCTGGCAGTTCCGCAAGACGCGGCTCCTGGCAGGCCCAACCCTCAGTGCGCTCAGAGCTCTGACCACGGCAGCCGGGTTTTCTATTTCAGGATTGCAAGGCTGCTTTGCTTTTTCTTAAGTGCTTTCAAGCAGCAGCCAGCCAGGATAAATGTCTTCCCTCGTCTACTTCACTTAGGGTCTGTGCAGTAAATAAAAAGTGTATAAACCCAGGAAGTTCCCAAGGGTCTAAACCTCACTGTGCACAAGGTCTGGGTCCCCCTACAGAGTGAAGGCTTCTGAATCGCTGCCGGGCTCCTCATCCAGGACTCGGCCTCCCAGCTGGGAGGGGAGGACCTTTTTGCCTTGTAGCCAGGACCACATTTGTTCTAAGCAACTGTGGCTCACGGCCCTGCTTCTGACCCTCTTCTGTCTTGATCCTGGGTGGTTGGTTTCAGAGCTACCAGGAACAGAAGCACCTGAGCTGGGTAGGGAAGAGGAACTTGCTACCCCAAGACAGTGGTACCTTTAGGACATGGGGTATAAAGTCCACGCTGCCCTCATGAGGGGCTGGGGATGGAGCCTGGGAAACTGCCTCTCCTCTGCCTCTCCTGTCTTTCGGATATGAGGTCTCATCTCCATCTCTCTGGCTACTGTCTTCTGTGTCCTGTTCATTTGTGTGTTTTCTGCTCATCCAGACGTCCTCCAGCCCCAAATGTTCCCCCAGCCCAAGTCTACATGATCTCCCACTTCCTCTGACCTCCCAGCCCCACTTTCAGTCCTGATGTCTAGTTACAAAGGCTTGAGTGAGAACACGTGATGGCCCAGCTAGTGTCCTGGGCTGACTGTGGCCAGGGAGGGGGAACCTCAGAGAAGAGGTGCTGTCCTGGGAGAGCGCCGCAGTGTTTGACTTCCTTTCTCTGCCTCTCTCTCCCTATCCCCATGTCTCCTTCCTGAACAGTGTCTGAGCCCTTCCTACCTGCCTCTGAGATGTATGGCTGGAGGCTGCGGGCGGCTGCTCCGGGGCCCCGAGAGCTGCTCCCTGGGCTGTGCGCAGGCAACCCAGTGTGCCCTGTGTCTGCGGCGCCCTCACTGTGGCTGGTGTGCCTGGGGGGGCCAGGATGGGGGTGGCCGCTGCATGGAGGGTGGACTCAGCGGCCCCCGTGACGGTAAGAAGGGTATGGGAGCCAGGCAAGAAGACCGGTTTGGGTCTGGGGCAGAGAACATGGGGACACTGGGGTTCATCTCAGAGATGGAGCTCAGAGGAAGCAGGGACAATGACCTGGGTGGCTGAGGGCGGGTAGTGTAGAGGTTCCCCAGGCAAAGCCTTGTATTCCTGGGGCCAGGGCTGACATGTGGGCGTCCTGCGGCATCCTGGGCCTTCCTGTCCTGCCCCCCTGAGGACGAGTGTGCAAATGGGCACCATGACTGCAATGAGACCCAGAATTGCCATGACCAGCCCCACGGCTATGAATGCAGCTGCAAGACGGGCTACACCATGGACAAGTGAGGCTGTAGGCCCCGTGGGATGTGGGTAGGAGAAATGGGCTGGCCAGACTGCGGGGAGAACCCCGTGGGAGCAGTGAGGGATGAAGTCCAGAGCTTAGCCAGACAGGAAGGATGAGCAGCTGGAGGCGGGAGGTGGGTATTGATCCAGGGAGGAGGAGAGTGGTGAGCTTGGCTGGGGTGGGACAGGATGGTGAGGGAGATCAGGGATGGATGAATGTCACAGGGGCCCAAGAAGAGGGAGGATTGTGGGCTAGCTCCTGGAGGAAGTGGTGGGTGGACCCCAGAGGGCAAGTGGTGGAATGGACGGGGGCTGAGCAATCAGGTGGAAAGAAGATAGGCCAGCTTGGAGGGGCCAGGCCATGG